TTCAGTTTGTAACATGGGTACAGATGGATGCTTTTACTCAGATTTATAGGGAGAATAAGAGGCATAAGACAGGGCAGAAAAATTTAAAAAACTTACATTCCAGCTTAAAAGTGAAGGCCAGAGGAGGTCTGGCTGTTAAAGAAGCTTATGCCATTAAAAAAAAAAAAAAAAAAAAACTTTATACAGGGATAAGAAAGATACCTAGAGAGCATCTCAGGAATTTCAAAGACTCCACTCACTGCAGGTGTGAGGGTACAAAAGTATCCATTCTTTCTTTTGAGATGAGTCCTTGGAACTCTTGCTAGAGAAGGGGCTGCTGGGAATGAATTCCCTGGCATCCATTTCATTATGCTCAAACATCTACAAATTCAGAGGTTGCTGCAGTCATGATCCAAGGGGGCCTGACTACTGCTCCCATTGACAGCAGATACTGGCGTTTTCCATATTTTTTTACTGACAAGCAGTTTTGGGGTCAGGGATACTTCCACACTGATTTTTAAGCAGGACCTAGCTGTAAGAATGAAGCCAAAGATGCTTGGTGTAAAAAGCCTAAGAAGTTGAAGATGCCTGGAATGTAGAATGTCTGCCCAGAAAAGCTGCAGGCTAGAAGTGCAGTCACCAAAGAGAAGCTGTGTCAGCTGCAACCAGCAAGGCCATTGGGGTGGGGCCAGCCAAACCCCTAGGAATGCTCATTTTAGCACTGTATGCGTAGGACACCAGATATGGAGTCATCTGATTCAATGTTTGCCCTTTGGTTGGATTCCTTATTATACCTTTATTTCTTCCTCATTTGGAATGAGGATGTTTACTCTGTATCACATACTTTAGGATTATGTGAATTGTTTTTTATTTTTACAGTCTGCTTTGAGTCTCCAAAGAGACTTTTTTTTTTTTTTTTCTTTTTTAATGTATTTAGTACAGGGTCTAGAGGGTCTCACTACACATATCAAACGCATAGTGATCCTCCTGTTTTCAACCTCCTAAGCACTGGGATTACAGGCATGCACCACCACACCCAGTATCATTCGCCATCTCAGTGTACCTCAGGGGCAGGGCTGCCACAGCATGCTGGGGATCAAACCCCAGTCCCTGTACCTGCCTAAACAGGAGCTTTAGAACACTGAGCTATCTGGCCAGCCCTTCCAAAGACACCTTTGAAAAATGCTGCAACTCTTGAGACTGGGTAAAGTTCCATTTCTAAGACTGATAAGGATAACTGTATTACAGTTAGGTGCAAGTATGAACTTGCTATTTTATTTGGAGATTAAATGTTATTTAAAGAGATGTGTTTAGGAAGCAAATTGAAAAGGGGTATGTGGCAGTTAGGGTCGAGTTTCACCTCAGTTTGCTTTGGGATCCTCCTTAGGGCTGGGGGCTTCTAGGGTCCCTGGTGTGTCACAGAGGCCTTGGGACCTGCGTTTGGGCCTTCCCTTCCTGTCCTGGCACTCTTCCCTGCTCTGCTTTCCAGCCAGTGCAAACTAAGCAATTTGCTCTGCCACGTCTTGTGCAGTGCTACGTCTCCCTTAGAAACAGCAGATTGTGACTGAAATTATGAATAACCTAAACCTCTCCCCATTTAAGTTGCGAGTGTTGTATCTTCTGTGTCAATGATGTGAACACTAACACACTCCCTCTTCCTTTAATCTGAATCTTTAAGTAGAAAAAAAGAAACTTAAAATTTTGTGCATTTGTTCATTACAACAGTTTTGTCTTATGATACCTTCTGTTGTTGGGCAAGTGCTCTAAATCTTGCTTCTGATGATTTAGAATGTAAAGCAAAATCAACCCTATGTTATTAAATGTTTAGTTTTTTATAAAACTGTTCTATTTTTAAAATGATTCACCTAGAAGTATAAATGTAAATTGTAAAAAACAAAAAAAAACCCACAAATGACAAAATATAATACAGTAAATATGTGAAGAAAAAAATGTTCTGTATCTTGCTTCTGAGTTCTCCAGTGCCACTATGGCCTATGTCCAAGCCTGGCTATCTAGTCTCTCAGCCAAGTCTATAGAATCCTAACTTTCCTCAAATAAATTCTTAAGTTAACCAAAGCTGGTATCTGCTGCTTACAATTTAAGTACTCTAACTGGTACACAGGCCACATACAGCACTAGACACTATCAAATTCACTTACTGGCCACTTCTAATATTTGAACAGTCTAAAGCATTACCAAAACTAAAAATATAAGCTCTATCACAATTTGTTAGTTTCAAATTAATTAACATTTAAATTACTGAATGATTAGTACAATTTTATATGTCATTAAAATTTCAATTTGATAGTTTAAGTGAACCTGTCCAAAGCAAATAAATACAATTTTCTTAAGATTTAAAGAAGAAATGCAGTGTTACTCAAATAGGTTTGTTATCTACCTGAATCAGAGCCAAGGGTTTTTCTCGACTTCTGATAAGAGCTGCTTCTTGCTGTAGCTCTTCCTCCACAATAGATGCAAAAGTGACTGGAGCTACCACTGAAGCAGTCAATGAAGAGGACAGCCAGGGACTGTAAAAAGAAAAATGAGCTTCCATCACCATGTCTAGTACTGACAGTGAAAAAAATTTCCCTCTGAAATAAACAATGCTGCATTTTTCACCCTAGTTACTACATAAGAGGACTCAGATGCTTTTGTAGAGATTACAAAATGATGAGATAATGGAAAAAAAGGATAGTTATTGTTTTATTTGGATCAGTGTCATAGAAACTTTTTAATTCCAGAAAGTTGGGATTGAGTTGAAGTGCAGAGCAGAGAAGGTTCAAATAATTCATTCCACTTAGCACAATAATATCCCAATTTCACAACATCCTCTTTCAATGCTAAGAGGAACTTAGCTTTAGAGTCCCTAATCAATCGGTTGACCTTACTTGGGACTGTCTGGAGGTCGTAAATCTGGGATGCGGGTGCCTTCTGGTCCTGAGGTACCATGACTAGAGCATCTGCAAAACAAATATCAAATTTGGAGATTAAAGCTTCTGCAATTGTTAGTAAATTAATACATACAGGCTCCTGCTTCAGGAGGCAAACCAATGTGTGCAATCAGACCTACTTTTAAAATTACAACTAAACAAAATGATCTATAGCTACTTCTAATACTAAGTTTTAAAATACACAGAAATCAGATACAGTAGTACCTGAGTTCATGAACTTTATTCCTTAATTCATTCCATAACTCTGGAAAAGACAGCCACATCTGTGTTCATTCAGAAAGATAGCCATGGTTACATTCATCACTCAGTGGTACCAATGTACCATTGTAGCTACTCGATTCTGTCATTACTAATATGCTTTGATAAGCTAAAGGTTATGAATAAACAGCAGTACATGACTTGTTCATGTACTGATAATTCATTAGCTAGAAGAGGAAACAACATATAAACAATATATAACACAGAATTTAGGACAGTATCTAACAAGCTGAGTTCTATTGCCTATGAAGACTATAAAAATCAAAGTGTTTAAGGCACTCAGTAGGACTGCAGGAAGAAGAACAAACTTGGAAGGCAACAATAAAGGAGTATACACTGAGGCAGATGGAAGCTTTTTAAGAAAAACTGAAAAAAAAAGTAGTATAACAACTGGCCAAATTGTGGAATTTAGAGCAAAAGAAGTTCCCACAGATTAAACTAATTGAATGCCTTCTTGCAGCAATGAGCAAAGGACTCATAGACAAGCAGAAGGCAAGGCCTAAGACACTGACTGACTTCCTGACTCTCACACTAAAATATGTAGACATAAGGTGTGCATAATGGCAAGCAAATGTTCTGATGGCCTAAGTATTTCCATGTACACTGTCTCATTCAATCCTTGTGGTACTCCGGAAAATACATGTTATTTTCATTATATGCAATAGGAAACTAAAATTCAAAAGTCCTATAAATCTTGCCTGAGTCACAAATTGTGTTAAGTAGCAGAGAATGAATTCAAATCCAAGTCTTTTTGACTTATCTCCCTTTGTCTTAAATACATTCCATGTCAAATATCTTTTTTAAGGATTGGCTCAATATCACCGTCTTTCATTTCCCATAGAACTTCAATTACTGTCATAAAGCTTCACATACTGTGTCATTATTGCTTACATGTCTGTCTTAACTGCTATACTAATATCTCAGGATATTTTGTTTATTTTGTTCGTCTTTATATCTCAATGCCCAGCAGAACACCTGAAACATATTTATTAAAAATTAGAGAATAAATGACTGAAAGTAGAAAGTCAAAGTTTCTTTGTAAAAGTGTAAGTAACCTTTTTTTAAAGTATAAGGTAAAATAAAAGCAGTTCCTATTTCCTTTGAATTACTCTTCACTTTTTCTTTCAGAGATAGGTACTGGAATACAAAACGAAGTGAGAATAGTTCTAGCTACAAATTCTAATATTTATTTATTTATTTATTTATTTATTTTTAGACAGGGTCTCACTATGCAGTTCAGGCTGGCCTTGTGCTCACTTCTGTAGCTCCCAGGCTGGTCTCCAAGTCTCAATGATCCTCCTTTCTCAACTTCCCAAGTGCTGAGATTACAAGTGTGTACCACTACGCTGGTTCCAGGGCTGGGGATGAAACTCAGGTCCTCGTGCTTGCCAGGCAGGTGCTTATGCATCTGAGCTATCGCCCCAGCCCTTCTAATTTTCAATGATATCCTAAAAGCTTGAAATCTGCCAGATGTTAATCTCTAGGACAAAACTGAAGATAGCTTTAGGCCAGAAGAAAAATGAAAAAAAAAAAAAAAAAAAAAAACCTAGAACTGGGGAGATAAGCTAACAGTCTAAGCACCTGCCTGACATGTGCAAGGACCCAGGTGTGATACCCGGTACCACACCATGCCAGCCCAGCACCGAGCCAGCCACCAAAACCGGGTGTGGTGGCCCAGCGCTGGGGAAGCTAAGACAGGAGAATCACTACGACTCTGAGCTGTGTAGCAAGGCTCTGTACCAAATAAATAAATTAAAAAAAAAAAAAAAGTTAGGATGAACTTGTTATGAGATGATCAGAACCTAGACCTGAATATAAATTCTGTATTCTGATGAAATTATCTTACAAACTAAGCAAAATCACCATTGGTTAAGGCTCCTGGAAGATCTTACTGGCAGCTGCCTATAGCTATTAGACATAGGTTTTGTAGAGTATTAAAGCATTACTATTGAACAAAAACTTAGAATGACTCAAGATGCTAAAATATAATCCTGATGCTCTGTGGATGAATTAAAATATTCTGACATTCTCAAAGACATGCAAAAATATTTTACCACAGATCATTACTATTTAGCTGTTAAATAAGCAGCAGCAACTAAAATCTCTCTGAAAACCTCGTCACTGGCAAATATCTGCACGACTGGCCCCAAAGTCTTACACAGTACAGGTCTTGCTAAGTCACAGTGAACCAACCGGAGCTGTAACTAGTTAAGAACCACGTTGTAACTCATGAAGCACTTCCATGTATGCTCGCTGATACCGAAGCCTGAAGTAAGGGTGTGACGCACTTTACAGTCCTTATTTCATACATGGTAAGGTTCAGAAACTGAAATCTGTTTCATAAATCTATAATCCTGGAACATTGTGCACTAATAATTTTTCATCTAGTAATCTCACTAAATATACATTTAGTCAAAACAACTTGAGGTCTGTTAATATTTCACCTGAAAGAAAATATGCGGAATAAAACTGGGCTGTGACTTAAACAGTAAAAAACACTGTAAGCTTTCAAACAGTACTACAGTATCACTAAGCTACAGGCACTAACAGCAAAATAACAGGCACAGACATATGGGGAGTGGCAGGGGCAGCGTGGCTAGACTCTTCCACAGAAGATTCATTCAGACCAGAGTACCACTACTGTCAAGCAGAGCTCAAGAGAGCTAAATTATACGATTCATGCAATTTGTTTTTCTTTTAGGTAAAATTTTATGCTAGTTTGATTATAAAACCTTGTACATAAGATAGCTCTTTGGTTTCATAAGTAGCTCTTCTTACTACTTAATTAGAAAAATAAATGCATTTTCTTGTCCAGAATTATATAAGCTATTTAAGACAAAAATGAAAGGAAATACATAAGAAGCAATGAATAAGTAGAAACTGTATAAATCCCCTCTTCTACTTTTTTAACATTGCTAAATGCTACTGCCTTTCTTGCCCTAGCCTTTAGGGAAAGGGGAGGTCACATTTTCTAGAATTAAAACAAGAGTGTCTGATTTTCACAATTCTCTGAGATGAGCTTCTTTCACTCCGCGCCAATACACCGAAGGATCATAGGATTTCCTGTCTTCTGGCTTCAACTCCCAGTTATGTGTCCCCTGTTTATATGGCCTTTCTTCTTTTAAAAATCCCATTTGTAATTCAAAACATGGGACGATGAAAGGAATCAATAATTAAGTGACCTATTTGTTATTATTCATGACTACAAACATAACCACATATTTGTAACTGAATGTAAAAATGTTTATAAATTACAACAGCTCAAGTCCTTCTTTCTCATAGCTATTCTTCATAACTCTAGTTCATTGTTATTTTTCTTTCAACCACTTATCTAGCATGTAATCATGTATCACTTTGTGACCTTTTAATACTGTTATATTGTAGCATATTTTCATTCTTTTTGTCATAAAACTTTTAAATGTGTGCCTATCTAAATTTGCCAATTACATTTTAAGCACATTAAAGGATGAGTCTGTGTATTTTATTTTTACAAAAACCAAAAGAAGCCAGTAAGATGTTTTGTTCCTGGCAGGTGTCTTGTAATTTAGTGAATGTTTCGTTTTTGTGCTGCTTTGTATTTTTTTTCTTAAAGCTTACTGATTATTTAAATGATTTCTATGATGAAATAAAAACTCAAGCTCAATCTGTTTTCCTTGTCAAAATCACTGTCAATATCAGTTATGCAAAACATTAATTTCCATAACAAACATACCATAAATACACATTTGATCCATACAATTCTTTAATTCAAATGTCAAAACATGCACCTATTATGGCACCCGAGTTTCACAATCAGGAATCCTGATGTTATAGCACACTCTAGTGATCAACTATGAAATCACAGATCCTTAATATTTTGTGAGTTCCAAGACAAGTTACTTAACCAGGAAAAACTTTTAAATTTCAATATGTATTGTTAATATTCAAATAAGATATTACAAAATAAACTTAATTTTCATACTTTTAAAGTCACATGTTTAAGTCATGCAATTGAACTCACTATATTACAAACAAATATTATTTAAAACAGAACTACAACTATAATTCATTGATTTATCCAGGCATTCACCAAATGTTTGCTCATCACCCCCTACAAGCTAGGAGCCATTCTGAGCCTTGTGATACCATGAGTAGGAAAGAGAAACAGCTTTCTTCCTCTCATGGAACAGAGACAAGTACACAGACAAGAAAATATTATTAGTAGTAATAATTAAAGAATCACACTAATGGGTATTATAACTTTGGGAGGTACAAGGAAAGAGAAGTTGGACTTTTCTAAATTATAGGACCAAATCAACTGAAAAGAGCTCATTTAGTCAAAGCTGCAAAGAAAGTGGCCAAGTGCCTCTGAGAATAACAGTCCAAGAAGGCCAGGCTACAAAGGTCATACTATGGGACAGAACCAAAGGGGCTGGCAGGAGCCAGAATCTGTAGGTCTTGAGATCATATGAAGAATTCTAGCTTTGGGGGATGGGGAGACAGCTTGGTGGTCTAAGCGCCTGCCTGGCACACACAAGGACCTAAGTTTGATCCCTGATGCTGCACTATGTGCTGGCTCTGGAGCCCCAGAAACACTGTGCCAGCACAAAACCAAGCACGGTGGTGCACACCTGTAATCCCAGCACTGGGGAGGCTAAGATAGGAGGGTCGCTACGAATCTGCACCGTGAAGTAAGACTCTGTGCCAAATACACAAATAAACAGCAGATTAAAAACGAATAGTAAAAAGAATTCTAGCTTTTGTCATAAAAGCAGTAAGCTCTACATTTTAGACACAGAAGCATGAATGAGGGCAGCATCTTCAAGATAGTTTAGTGTATGTATGAAAGAAATATTACTTCAGAGTATCAATGACCACCATGTCCTGGTGATAGACTATTACAGAGGAACACAAAGGATCCAGACTTTCCAGTGCTACTGAGGAAGAAAGATTAGGAAGAATGAGTTATTTTACATTTTTTCTGTATTTGGTTTGATTTTTGTTTCCTTAAAAGACATATGAAGAAAATACTAAGTTTGCTTTTGGGCACAAAGTTGAAGTGGTCCTCAATCACCTTACTTGCCTAATTGCACTGTGTGTGGCTTTTTTCTTCAAAGTCAAAATGACCATAGCAAGTAACACTCTGAGTCAGTTCTGGACACTGAGACAGCTACTACAGCACAATTTAAGTCGTTCACAAAAGACGACATGCTTCAGAAAGTGCGAACATGGGATAAATATACTGAAGTAAGGAGGAATATTCTGGGGAAGGTTAATGGCACTGTGTCTCCTACTGCAGAAATTTTAAAAATGGATTATAACTCGTTCTGAGACTATACATGTCAAAACTCTACCCAGTGTGTATCTGTGATCCCATCATGTGCCAGACACGGTGGTGGATTCCTACAATCCCAGCCCTCAGGAAGCTGAGGCAGGAAGACTCCCTTGAGTTCGAGGCTTGCCTCAGCTACAAAGTGAGTTCAAAGCCAGCCTTAGCTGCATAGTGAGATCCTGTCTCAAAAAGTAAAAAAGAATGGGCCAGCAAGGCAGCTCTGTGGACTAAATATTTGCTTTGGCAAGCACAGGGACGAGGGTTTGATCCCTGGTCCCACAAGCTGCGCCGGCCCTGCCCCCAGGGCACGCTGAGCCAGCGTGGTGCCACAAGCCCAGTATCACTGTGAGTCCAAGCTGCATAGTAAGACTCTGTACCAAATGCATAAAATGAAATAAAAAAAAGTATGAACATCTTAAACAATACATACACTTTCGACTTACAAATTTATATGTAAAAAGAAGTGGGTATCTTTTATATGCTAAGAGTTCCAATTATAATTTTTATTTTAAAACAGTATTCCACTACTACAAGTATTTGAAGTTACAGAGAAAACTAGATGACTTCTACCAATTTTTTCTGATCTGTCTTTTTTCTGCCTTAAAGAAAATGGCTCCAGAAACCTGCTTCTAAACATACTTCTACCTGTAACCAGGGAAGCTGGTCGCAGTGTCAG